ACCACCAGCAAAATCTGTGGTGTCACACAGAAAATGTAGTAAGGCAGCAGAAAGTCAGGCATTTGGGGCAAAAATGTTTAAGATCAGTAGAGAAGGTGCTGAACCTACTTCCAGCCAGGAGCCCTGCAGTGGCAAGGAGCAGTCAGCACTGTTTGTGCTATCCACTTGTGTRGGGAGTAGTGAAAATCTGTCATCTGAGCAGCAAGGGCCCAATTCTGTGAAAGGGCACAACTGGAATCTTCAAAAATCTTCATCTTCAAATACCTCAGCAATTTCACATGCTTTAAGGTCAGAATGATGTCTTTATCTAAACCACCTTCCCATATAATTCCAACTTTTTTAGCCAGAAGTTCATAAAGATGAATGGCTGGAAGAGCTGCAATGTGTTTTTGGCATGAGCAGAAAATATCTGAGCGCAGAACTCATAGTTATTTGAGATGAGCAGACACCAGCCAGCTCCAGCTGGATTAGGTGACGTTTTACTGTAGTTCACATGGTCCTGAAACTACCCTAGCTGGATTTGCTGAGAAGAACCCACCTCATTTAGAGTCAGTCCTCTAAAAGCCAGGCATCCAGACCAAATATGTTGTCATGCCTTCTCCATAAGCAGCAGAGTGTGGGCCAAAGAGGCATTTTCTTGGGTGCCTAATTTACAATTTTGACAGAAGACATGACCACACTAGCCCAAATGTCCAACTTTGTCTATGTGCCTCTCTTTCATATGGCCCAGGTGGTGAGACGACTTGTACCTCTTCTTCTGGAGCTAACTCTACTACCTGGTGTAGATATGCTCAGTGCTTGAGTGCTACTTTGTGCAGTCCCACTTACAATTATCTTTGAATCTACGGGGAAAAAAATCTCTGCATAGAAATTACCTTTTTGGGCAAAAGAACTCCCTTCTGAATGTTTGTGTGCTTGAGTCCAATACTTAATTGCATGCATTATTTTTAAGTGCATCACTCAAGTGTATAAGCTTACACACCGATTGAAGTGTTCTGCAGGATCAGGGCCATGAGGGATGAATGCTTAATGCTATGAAATGCATGAGGAGATTTGTGCCCCTGCTTCACTTTGAACACAGCAAGCTCAGAAGAACGGCATGTCAGTACCTGCATTTTTAAGCCTACAGCGGCTAGGCAGAGAATTTAAAACCGCCAGTTAAATATAAATTGCACCGTAATATTCTACACATACAGAGAGTTAAGCTGTAGCTGCTCAAGCTGTATTGAAAGAATATAAAATGAGAACAGTTCCAAACTATGACATATTATACCTAGTTTGTGCATGGAGAAAAGAGGACCAAAATGCAGGACTTTGTCTAGACTTTATTAGTACAGTGTCCCATTTTTCAGATATTCTCGACAAGACCACAATCCCATAAAACTCTACGCATCTCCTTCCTGAAAGGGTGCTCCACTCATAAGCACCCTAAATTATGGGTCCCTTTTTGATATTTTCCTTTTTTTTGAGGAAATAAGGAATGCACGGGAGAGCGAACAGGGATGAACGTGTGTTCGGCCAGGTTCATGTAGCGGGGCCACTTCTCACGTCCTTCACATTGACTCATGAATACCCAGCGAAGGAGGAAAACAGGCTGTCCTTGTGACGGCATGATGGCACTTTGGGGACTTGTAAGTAGTCTCTGGATGTTGTTGCCTCACATTATCCCTGGCTGGTTAACTGGAGGTAGAAAACTTGCTTTTGCTACTAGTAACAGTCTGTRTAGAACAGGAGCCCTACCTAACCTTTCTTGTGCTTGCTGATAACCTATCTTTAGTGTCTGAGAGCGGGGAGGGAAGGTGGCAGAAACTATGATGAGATTAAACTGAAAACAGGATGGCTTCAGGACCTTGTTTTTACAGCCTATGGTCAGATTGCTGTGTGGCAGAATGACAGCAAGATTGCCTTCACTGGATGACAGATAGAGATGCATGGAGCTTCTGTTGTTCCTGCCTGCCCTGCCCTCAAAAACTGGTACATCTTTACAGCAGATCTCAGCTCATTATTTCAGCCCATGTGGACAGTGCTGGGAACACTCCAGAAAGTTCATGTGTTTCCCCTGTTTGCCTTTATTAGATCAAATTAGACTGTGGTAGCTTATTCATAAGAAAGCCTCCTTTAAGAATCAGTCAAAAATTAGCCAGACTTTGAGTTTTCTTTCCTTCAGAAGATGATAATAAATTTGTAGGACTATATTTATATTGTCATAATTATCTGTAACAAAATACTGGGGATTTTTTATATTTAATTTTATGTTTAGGAAAGAATCTTGAAGTCAAAGCTAGACGGCTACAGACAGTATGTAAAAAAGACTTTTTCAGTATTTCCAGAGTGAATATTTTTCCCTCTACATTCCAGTTTTTCAGTCTTTCTAAGAAATAATGTTTTTTAGAATTTGTAGTGCCAGGATTTCCAGAAAAACAGAAATTCTTAATTCTGACCAGCTCTGAATTCCATTGAAACTAGCTCAGAACTGTAGCAGTTGCAGAGCTGCCACTTTTATTACTCTATTCCTCTGTGACCACTGATAGCTCCCGGGGATCGACCAAGATTCGTCTGTTCTTTGTCTGCCCCACTTTTTAATCCTATGGAGCACAAGTCCACAGAAGGCATGAAATGGGAAAGAAACAGGACCGATGAATCAATTTCAGCCTTTCACAATTCTCTGAATGCTCTTTTTTTTTGAGGTATTGAAACAGATTGTCTCTCTTCACATCATGCTCTGCTGATTAAGATGGGTTGGTTTCTTACATTCTCTCCTACCACTTCACCTCAAATTTGGCTAGTGCAGGGATTCCTCAGTSCACGGGGAATCCCAGGCTCTAGCAGGAGGAGTCATTTTTATCATCTGCTCTGATGTGCTGTAACAGAAAAAAAAAATACCCAGTACTTTTGAACCAAGGATATTTATTCCTTGCGGAATGGGGAGAAGGAGCACAGAAGCTATGCCCTGGACTGCAAATACTGACGGGGGATGAACTGAGCCTACCTAGCATCAACACAAGAGAAAAATAATACTTGACTGCAAAAAGCTGTTAATGGTTATAGGAATAGAAGGAGGTGGTTTAAAGTGCTGCGCTTCTCGTTAATGTCAGTTAGAGACATTTGTGAATTTGCAGCCACTGAGAGTGGGAGTCACTCTGGAGACACCGCGATGAACGGTGACCACCCCAAGCAGCCTCTGGGCCCGGTGTGGTGGGTACCTCCACGCACCAGGAAAGCAGAGCTGTCAATGGAGGAAGGCAGCTGGCAAAGGAGGACGAGAAGGAACTTGGTTCTTCCCAGGTCAAATCAATGGATGCAAAAGAGTTTTGCCATTCACTTCAAAAGTATCAAAACTTGGTTCTATATGTTGTTTGATCAACTTACATATTGTGAATTAAACAAAACAAAACAAAACCATTCTTAGATTGCCAAAGCCTCCCAAGTATTTTTACTCTGTTCAAAAACATATGGAAGTTCTGCTCTCCTACTTATTTTTGCGTAAGCTCTTCACAGGGCAAAATTCAAGCCTGCCTATCATTCTCTTAAAATAATTCATTTAATTTCTGAAATTCCTAGGACATTCCCTGCAGGGAAAGATACAGCTTTGACTTCCAAGTGTCCACCTGAAATCACTCTCTGTCCTTCGAGACATCATTAGTGCATCATAAGAAGGGTACTGCAATGCCTCCAGAATAAGGTAGGAAATGCTAAGTACATTTCATTAAAAAATCTCAATGTCTCCAGGGGAGAAATCACATGATAATAAACGGGAATAAGCAAAGGCCACATCAGGTCTTCTGGGTCCATGCTTGCAGATAACCTCCACTCCTAGCTCTTCTCCGGGAAGGGCGGACAGCAGTCCTGGACTTGGTCTTCAAGGAGAGCTTTAAAAGAAGCTGAGAAAAGGAAGGGGCGGGGAACGAGGGGGAGCTCTGGGCTGTGCAAACCCATCTCCAGCACCCTCGCATGGGGTCTCAGCCCAGGCCGGCCAGCAAGTCGTGCCGCCTCCCTCCCTGCATCTCCCGCTGTGGGCAGGAGGCTGCAGGGCCCCGAGCAGCCGGGGAGCCCCAGAGCGAAGCTCTCTTGAAATGCTTCACCTAAGCTGAACTTGGCCAGCGGGCATTTTTGAAGCACAGCCAAGCACTTCCTATCAAGCTATAACTGTTTTTTTTTTTCCTTCTTCCGGAAAAGTATGGATTTGGTATTAGCAACAGCCACCCAAATATCTGCTTATATCATTACAGAAATATGCACCTATCTGTTATGGTATGTGTGTATTCCTACATCTTAATGTTCTTACAAATTAATACGGCATTTTTTTTTGCTCCAAGCATTATACTTCCCAAGCCTGTGTGCTTTGCTAAGAATTACTGCAACTTATCAAATGAAAATTAATGCACGTTTTAACAGGATAAAGATATTACGTATCAATATTTGCAACCATTATCTGATGCATAACTTTCGTATGGCTTAACCTGTTATTAACAGTACTTTAAACGTTATATTCTTTTTGATGTAATGTGCATGTCTGAAAATAGCCCGTTTCAAATTAAGTTGCAGTAACGTTTCTTAAAAGCAAACTTTAAACTTAACTTGCTGCACACACAATCATCTAAGTTGCATAGTTTAAACAAGTTCGGTTGTGCTTTGTAGCAGAACTCACAGTAATTTCTTATCTCTTAAAAATATGTGGACGTGAAGTTATGATACACTGAAGAATTTTTGTGAAGTCTAGACATTAATGATATGAGTTTTTTCACTCTTCCACTGACTTTTGCTGTTCACAACACCTTACCCTTACATTGATATTAGATCAGAGCATGGACATTTAACGGACACACTTGAAATAATTACGAAGAGAAACAAGAACTTGGGTCAGTTTGAGGTATCCAGCCCTCAGGAACATACTATGGTTGTTTGCATTAAGCTTTGTTGGTTTTGTCATGTGTTACATTTAGATTAAAAATAGAAGGCACAGGTGTTTCACAAGGCGCCGTATTTAAGTCAACCAACAAAACTCAATATTACATTACCAAGCCAGGGGTCTATATCTCAGCAGTGACTTCTTCCAACGCGTTTTCAGTTGAGGAATTTATTGCTTCTGAGAAAGGGCCGGGGTATGTCTGTGCTATGCAATTCATCCCTTGTGCCACGCTGAAGTCTCCACACTGTTCTCCTCGACAGCTGAAGGTAGGGCAGGATCTAGTCCGTGCATAGTTTTGCTGAGGTCCCRCCTGCCCTACCGTCTCGCTCACAGTGTTCACCGGCGAAGCCCTCCACCGCTGTCTCTGCACTTGCTCTTCTTTGTACTTTATGGAGTACCAGGCCAGAAAAATAAAAAAGAATCCGACAAACTTGAGGCCAGCTGCCAAGCCGAAGTAGACGAAGCGAAACGAGGTGACATCGTATTCCCAACAGGATCCTTGTACGCCACAGTCCTGTTGCCAGAGCATGCATGTGGTATCAATAACAGCCCCAAAATAAATTGGAGTGGGAATGTAAGCTGAAATAAAAATAGCAGCAGAAATAATACGTGTTAGCATACAGTGGAAGACTTCTAAAGAAACTGCATGCCTTCCTCAAGCAGGTGTAGGTCAAGGAGTTTTGAGAGGACTTCTAYGCTACTGATCTCCCATGTAATGTGAAAAGAGCAAGATGGTCCACGACTTTCTCAGCAATGCCACTTATCCCACACATAAAATGCACGTGAAAGAACTCAAACAAAGAATATGACAACATCATCTTGCAACAGTGCCTCCATCTGGGGCCTCCAGCCACTCAGAATCATGGAATCATTACAGTTGGAAAATACCTTCAAGATCATCAAGCCCAACCATAAACCCTTCAACACCATGTCTGCTCAGCCATGTCCCTAAGTGCCTCATCTACACCTCTGCACGAACAACACACACTGCTCTCAGGAATAAAATGAGACAGGGCATTACTTATTTAAAATCATTATCTGTGAGCTGGGAAAGACTGGAGGTTGTTGCTACTGATTAAGGAAAAAATTAACTCCCTGGTGAACATAAAACATAATTCTCTTGCTGAAGATGGATGGGAGATGGATGGAGCCATCATTTTTAGATTGCTCTGCCTCAGAAATGTACTCCATCTTTTAAGGCTGCCACAAATGTTGCCAGTCTATTAAATGCTCCTGCTTGTTGTATTTCCTGCTTGGAAATACAACACATGTATGACAAGTCAAAAGGGGCCTTTCTCAAAGACAACTTCCTCATTACTGGACCAGGTGCAGCTATGTGGGTTTTTCCTCTCATTCTTGTTTATAATTATAATAATTGCATGCCATATTCACATTTTTTTGCTTTAGTTGAACACCTGGAGTGCTCTTTATACGCAGGATTTTGTAAGTTCAAAAGCTTGAAAGGAATCACTTCGGGTAAAAATGATTTTTTACAAGCAGTCTGTTTGCTTTGAAACATTTGAAATTAGACCTTACAGTATAATTGYTTCTTACTTTAGAAAAGTAAACAGCTACTGCTACAAGCAAAAAAATACATCATTTTTTTATTTAAAAAAAGCTTATAAATGATAGTTAGTATATACATATATATTAGCATGTACAATGGATACATACGATGAGCACTGATATCAAATCATCCTTTCCAAATAACTCTTGTTCTTATCCTTGAATACGCAATGCTATGTTCAGAAGAAGAATAAAACTGAAGATATATTTAGTCCGGTTATATGGACAATGTTTAAAAGAAATATTTAAAACAACATTACTGTTCTTACTATGTTATCTAGATGAATCAGAAACCTTYTGTTTTTTCATAAGAAAATGTTAATTTGTCAAAAACAGAATCTTTTATTGGGAAAATGATCATTTTGACATGTCCRTTTTTTAAAGGATTTAAAAATATCTGAGACAAAAAATTTGTCTCAAAAAGTCAGAAATGAAAATTATGATTAAATAATCTGAGTTACAAAGCAACTAATTTTATGTTCCTTGTGACAATCAGTGGCAGATTCATGGAATTTCAATAGTTTTATAGCACATATAAGCAAAACATCGTGAATCTTCTGGAAATATGGTAAACCTTTGGGGGATTTATATGAATGCTCAGTAACCACAAGACTTACCAAGAGTTCGTAATAAAACAAACTGCATTCCTAGTGCAAAGGGCCGCTCCCCATCTTCCACAGACCTGGCAAGCAAACCCAAAAGAAACAGTCATAGCAGATAAATACTCATTGTGGTAAGTTTTAGCCTCACTTCCTGTGGTTTTTTGTTTGTTTGTTTGTTTTCTGAGTTATAATAGATCTCTGCCTCAATTTCTCCTGCTTAACTTCTATATATTGTTAAGACTTGCTCCTAGGAAAAAAAAGATGAAGCCTCCTGTCCCAATTTAATCAAACTCTTAGTCCGGTCTTTGAATCTTTATCCCCATGTAAGGCCTGAAGAATTTGATCCAAAACTATGAAAACTGGAGACCTAAAATGTTCGTGTTTTCTCATAATAATTTTATTTTGATATAATCTTGTGCTTTATTTTCTTCATCTTTTTCAGATCAGTGATCCTACTCTAMATGGAGAATTAAGTTGCTGAATGCTGGAATCTACCTCTGAATTAAACTGATACTTGCTTAGTGTAAGCACTTCAAAATTATATTAGGAAACATATTTGTGATTTACTACAACTGTTTGCAATTCCACCATGGAATATTACTAGTTTACATACAATCSTTTGAGAAGTGAACATTTTTCCCCTTGAAAGCTAATGGAAGCTAATGGAAGACACCTCCATTACTTTGGCTGAAAAGCAGCAGGGTTCCAAAGGACGGCTTGGATGATGATTGTTATTATAAGTAGGCAACTTGTAGTGACAGCAGATTTTGAAATAAGGAACATATGAACAGATCATATTCTGTGACTGAATGGTCAAGACTCTGGAATCAAGCACTCATCATTCTGGATGGATGCACTRCACTTGACATGGGACCCTTTATTTTTCATTGAACATGGTAAAATCCCCTAAAATTTTTCCTTAAGGACTGCAATATTTAAGATTCACTCCAGTATTAATTAACTCCAGCTTGAAGTTTACCTTTGGACAATTACCCTGTGCAATGACATTTTATCCTCATTTTACAGGTAGAAAACTCAGAGCAGAAGGAGCCAAAGGTGCTCAAATGACCACGGTGTCATGCACACAATACTGCAATGAAGGCTGCACAAGCAACTGGAAGTCTCATTTCCTGCTTTTGTGTATTTGGTTGCACAATCTTAACAGTGACCCTTTTGCAGTTTCCACCTGTTTTGTTTTGTGGGTTTTTAGAAAATAAATTCCACCATGGGCCATGACATAGCCCTGTGTCATCAACAAGCTTGCAACAGTTAGATCTCCTGCACAAACCTCAGCCACTCAAGCTGAGGAAATGACAGCAAGAGAGGGCCTAGGTTCATTGGGGATGAGTGCTAGAAGGGGATGAGGCACTGACAAGTGCCACAGGGCTTCAGAGACTTGGAGATGGTGAAGGATCAAAGATTTCAGGTAGGACCATAGTGCCTAGCTCCAACACAAGCACACAAGGCATGCCAAAGGACCAGTCACACACACATGGTAGAGCTTTTTAATTAAAATTGAATCAGCTCTTTGAAACATTCTCTTTGTCTTCTTATTACCAGTGGAACTGATACCTATGGACATGCTTTGTAAATCCTGGTAAGTAACTATGAACAGTGAATGAGTGAAATATTAACCTTTGCTCTTTTGGGTTTGAAAATTCAAACCACTGCCCTATGGAGGTTAAATTTTTCTTCAGGAGTAATCACTTTTTTAAATCCTGTTTTTACAAATCCTCCCTACGTTATCTGGAAATTACTGGGTACTTCTTGTTTCCTAAAGAGAATTATCGTGTTACATATTCCTTACAAAGGTCAGCCTGTTCTAATCACCTTAAGCTTGATGAAATTAAGCTGCATTAGTCCAGCCTCCGTGACACAGACTCTAGAGAGATGGTAAGCAGAGTATAAATATCTAAATAAACATTTAATGGACCTCTTACCTGAGTGTCACTATGATTGCTGATGGCTGGGCACATGCTGTTATAAGGGTAACTATAAAAAGAAATATTAGGAAGGGGATAAGGGTATTGCAGGTTCGGTCACACTTCCCAGAAACAGCATAGCCRTTCTCATTCAGGTAGGTTTTGACTATGACCACTCGAAGCTGACTGCGCTGGCCCACCGTCGGGGGAGTAATGACTTGGCGACTTTGGACACAGGCACATTCTGTATAATTTCTTATCTAGAGGAAGTGAAATAGAGAAACACACTGATTACTCATGTAGGAAAAAAAAATGCTGGGAGAAAGACATTGTGCAAAGACACTGTATGACAGTCTGACCGGGCTTCCTCACTGGGATTAAGCACTGCTCAGTCAGGAGTCTTCTGTCTCCAGCAGTATCATCCCAAGTATAGGCAAGCACAGATTTGAAGTTTGCTTTCAAAAACCACATGCACAAAGCTACGCCACTTAAGCTACATCTTAAGGCTGTAAATTAAAACTGACAGTAGGAAATATCTGAATTAATATCTGAATTGCTTGTCAATGTTAATTTATACCTTTATATGTGCTTGTGTTTTTGCATAGCCTTACATTTTTCTCATAGGATTTTGTTGAACATTTTAATGAACCATCCACTTCTCTAGCATTTTACCTTTCGTTTTCAAAATACGGCCTCAGRCATTTTTTTTTCTCACACTAATCTTATTCTACTATGCAAACACATTGGCTCGTATTTCATATGGATTTTTCTATGGCAATCAGCTTTATTCATCTCTTTCAAAAAGAATAATTTATCCTCAGAACAGTTATGAGAGGAGACAGTGATGTTGATATCTATTTTACAGCTAAGTAACTGAAGCGCAGGTCAAAACACTCACAAATATGGGTGGCAAATTTGAGACAACTGGAACCCTTTTATTTTTCATTATATACAACCTAATATTGTCTAAATACAATTTTCCTGCCTTCAGATACAGATTTTGTCCTTCAGTCCTTTTACAAATGACACTTCTGGTTACTGCTCACATCRATCATCCAGAATATGAAGAACAGAAACCAGCTAATGACCAGCTGGGAGATGTTTGGTCCAACTGACTTGCATAGCATCACCTAGGAACCGAGGCAGTGACTAAATCCACTTTCCTAAGGCAGCACTGCCAAGTATCAGCTGGATATCTGCTTTCCTCCTACAGTCCCTCACCTTATTCTCCTTATTCGTTACAAACAGCAAATAATCCTACAGAAAATAGTCTTCCTTCCTACATAGTCTTGATTCATCACCAGAGAAACCAAGGCTGTGCTTCGTTGGCAGAGGGTTACGCAGCAGAAATGCTAGAATGGAGACATGTACATACAGAGCAGGTATGAACATGTAACTGTATCTCAYATGTTATAAACTAAAATCCAATTTTTGTAGACTAGAAATATATTTTGTGTGTTATAAAGCAATACAAGCTTACATTTGTAGCTTCCCAAAGTRCTCCCCATAAAAAAATTATTTAATGAAGAAATGTATTTGCAACCCAATGTCAGCCCTATTTTATTCACCATTAGCTGCTGAGTTAAAACTTCATGCCACATCATAATAGGAAATATTATGTTTCAAAATGTGCAGTGAAAAGTAAATATACCCAAGGTATTTCACTATTAAACAAATTACTAGTACTAGCTTGATATCTGCTGAAATATAGTAAAGATCAAACCCATGGCCTTTGTCCAACAAAGTGCAAGTACAAGGCACACAGATACGGACGGTTAACCAGGTACTTTCAGGCTTTTTGTAACTGGGCCAAAGCAATTGTCTACCAAAATCTAGCAAGGAACTCTAAAAAAGGAAAGCTATAAAAGAAACTAATTTGTTCTAAATGGAATCACATATGAACCTTCATTTTTAGATTATCTTGTGAAAAATAAAAAAGCACAGCTCTGAACTAACATTCTCATGTTTCACAGCTTGGCTCAGCACTGCCAATTAGAAGATGCATACATTATAAATAAGGTTTCTGGAAAGTACAGTCAAGTCCTGAGAAGTTCAATGTTTATATGGTTTGCCGTCTGTCTTGCTTATTCTTTTTCAGAAGAGAATTCAAGAGTTTGTCTTTTGTACGAAGTGAGCAAAATCTTAATGACATGAAGGTTGGATTCCACTTTTTCCACTGTCTTCCTGTGCCCAGTTCTGGAAATGGCCAAATTTCCATGGTGTAGCTTTAACAGCAGAATGTCCTTCCTTAGTTTTCTATAACTGGAAGAGTGGGTTGTAACAAGCAATATATTTATCAAGGGAAAAAAAAAACGTATTATGGAAAAACTCAGGCCTGAGTCACCTTCAGGGCAACTTTTGCAAAGCTTCATATGGTTTGCTACAGAAACCCTGTCCTTGGCTCTGCCTTGGTCCTCACRGGCAATTTGCTTTGTGGAGTCTACGTGGTGAGCGTGGGAAGAACTTACCCCTGTGCTAAGGTTTCCACCATTGATGCAGCCAGCTAGGCAAGGATTAAAATAYGTTATTCCATCTGATCCACAGACAGGCTCATACTCATGAATCTTACATCCACAGTTAACATTACAGCTCCCGGTCAGATTCCTGTGCGCCATGGCAAGAGTGGGACTAGAAAAAGGAAAAAAAAACATGCTAGTAGAGCAAGGACACAGGTTTGGGGGTAGAAAACGTCCTACTCATTAATTCTGCAATGCATATTTGATTACCAGAAGAAAAGCAGCATTAACTCTAGATTATGGATAAAATTTAAAAGATATAGGAGAGCACCTCAGGCTAACAGATAGTAACAAAATACAAAAATAATTCCAAAATTTAATTCTTGGATCTTATTTGTCAACATAATAGTTCTGTTTTCCCCGATTTTCTCTTCAACAGTTAAGACAGCACTATTTTACACTTCTATTTTAAGTTGAAGGGATTTACCAGTTATTACTAGTGAAGGGCCCAGTGATGAGATGTAGCATTATGTGAACCAATACGCCCTGCCTCCCACACAATCACCAACTGCTCACAAAACTTAATACATTTATATGTATTTCTGAAATACACAGGAATCTCTCTAGATCTAGTTCTGTGCTAGTACTAGACTCTATGTGAAAGAAGCATCACCTCCCTGGACCAATCTCCCCAATCCTGCCAAGACCCGACTTTCCAAGTCTCTCCCAGAAGGGTTTTGCTGTGTGCTCAGAAGGTCCTTCTATTTTGGACTAAAGGGAATTTCGAAACTGAAGAACATGCACACACTGAAAAGTTGCTGGTTTTCCACGTCACAACAACAACACCAGCAAACGTCTTATTTTCCAGTGGCCGAGTACCATGGCAAACAGGATACATCTTCACTGTGGAACGGAATCAGCTCTGGTTAAGGCCGTTGGTTGGCTGTCACCATGAGAGTTTTTGATTTGGGTTGACTAAAGTAGATGGTCACCTACTTCTCCAGTTGCTGCCTTGCCATACCATATAGTAAAAAGAACTATATAGCTGTATGTAAAATAAATGATCATAGAGCAATAAGGAAAGATAAAACAAAAGAGCTAAATAAAGATGAAAGGGATACTAGATGGTTTCTCCCCAAACTAAAACCAGACTGACATAACTAGATGCAACTTAATAGAGCTGACAACATAGGATGCAAGATGTCCAATCTTTATCTAGAAGCCCCTATTAATGAAAAAGTAGGTGATAAGCGAATGGCTTTTTTCCTGACAATTAACATTTTGAAAAGTCAGTTATTTTAATGTGCATACTTTCTTGAAAATTTCAGATTAACCACATTCTCTCCAATGAGTTACTACATTAACTGTAACCCTTTCAACTGCTGTGACTGCTTATCTACATAGCAAATTGCTATGGCATCATGGTATCTTCACTTTCTTGGCTGGTTAAGGACTCTTGGCAGGTTTCCTACATGCTAACTTAAAGCCTGTTTTTTTTTGTATGCACACATTTTCATGGATGGTACCTTGAAATGCTTATGTCATCTAGAACTGCATGAAAACATTTGTTCAGACCATGATCATCTCATCACGAATTGCCTGTCCTGAACTCTAGCCATAAGCAGATGATGAAGAAAGGACAAGCTTTCTTAACTTACTTTCAATAAAGTCTGAAGTCTCATATATATTTATGCATATATATATATATATACACACACAAATAAGCTGTAATATAATGGGGTTTGTTAATGGTGGTGGTGGTGGTTTTTTGCTACATACTTCTCCCATTGAGCTTAACCATTTTGTATGCACAGTATCTTTGTGGTAACAACTGTTCCATCTACCTATAATCTGTTATAAGCAGTTGATTGTTATGAATCTGGCTCTCACTAGCTTTATCTGTGAGTTTCCACTTCTACTATTTTGCCTGTAAGCTCTAAACATAAGAAGACTCCTGAAAATAAATCAGGGCCTTTATATGCCAAAGTGAGAACATTTGCAAAGTCTAGTGAAACCTTGTAACTGCAACTAAATATATCATATCTAATATTAACTCCTGCATAATGACTGAAGGTATATCTATAGACACAAAGTAGTACCAATTTTCATACTCTTACTAAACATGCTAGCTCAGTTACCAAAAAGAAAGGAACTGTGCGTACCTTGAAAGTTATTTTCTGCTCTCATTGTCCAGCCAAATTATAATAGACATGAACTTTTAAATAGCTCATTCTATATAGATACCTCTTTCAACCGCACTTATCACATTCTCCCTTATTTCATGTTGCTGAACTAATTTAATAAGTGGAAAAGCAAAAGTTTTCAATCTGGTTTATTGCTGGGTCAACAGTTATGAATGGGAAATACATATCTATCCCCTGTGGATCTGAACATGCTCCATATTCTCCTTCCTCATCTCTGAGTTGCAGCCTCTTAGATATTTGCATCTACCTGGCTTCCCCACCTCAGATATTCTAGATGTGCACAAGAACCTATACTCGGGCACTTGGAGAACTTTGTGAACAAAATAAGAGTAACTTATTGAAGTAGTACTGGAAAAATATGTGAATTCTTCCTAAATCTCAAATTACTCTGCTTTTGGATGTTTAAATGTCAGAAGAGTATAGAATTTCACATATTTCAAACATATCCTGAAGTCATCCTTCAGTCACGCTCTAAGAAAGCATTCCTTTATTTCCTCCACAGTGGATGCAATTTCATGAAATCCAGTTGCCTCAGAAGACAGGGAGACATCTCCCTATGGTTTGAAGGCTCTTCATAGCAAAAGCTTGGGGTGGCTGAACAATGAAAAAAGTTGGTGCTTTGGGAAGGCAATTTTGGATAATATTTCTCTGTATGTTTTCACCACAGAAATGAATGACACCAGAACCCTTTGGTGAGTCATCAGCATATTTTGAAAGTTGTTTTGCAACAACCTTCTTGAATTCTCCATCTGTTACCTGTCACAAGTGCTTAGAATGCCCATTGCCTGGAAAATGGGATATCATAGCTACAGTCACACTGGTCTGAACCCACAAAGGGGAACAACTTCCGATGTTTTCCGGCCTAATGGATTCCACAAATCTGAGATGGGTGCCTGTTTTCTCAATATTATACATGAGACAGCTGCCACTTCAGAGGAAGCTCCACAGGAGGAAACCAATACACTGAATGCTGAGCTGCTAATAAAAACAGTTGAAAATGCTCAAGTGGGGAATTTATGGCCTATCTGCTCCCAGGAGACTCTCTGCTAAACTCCGTAATGTAAAACCGTCCTTCCTTCCTCTTCCCAGCTGATCCATTTAAAATAGCTGACGTTTCTTCACAAAAGGAAGCTAGAAGTGTCCTCCTGTGCATCTTTTATCAAGTAATCTAGTGATTTAATATGCAAATCCACTTTAAAATGAAGTAAGTTGGTTTAATGCAAGGTTGAATGCAAGGTTACAGGGGTGGAGTTTAAGGCCCTTTCACACAAACTGGAATACACATGTTAAAATCCCCAAGAAGAAAGTGACTTTGGTCACATCCCGCATGTCAAAGGGAGGCTGCAGTCACCCTCCCACGTCTTCTCCTGCCTCGTGTGCACTCCGGTCCAGAGGATGGGAAGGACTGAAAACAAACGCTGCTCAGCCCCTGCAAAACCCACACAGATTTTAGGGATGACCTAGGTACTGAGCTCTGTGAGGACACGGGTATTTGCACATGTGCCCACAAGCAAAATTCCTGCCTTGGCAGTTACGTTGGTATGCACTGTGTGTCCACGCTGGGCACTGCTCTGTAACATGGAGCTACCTGCACTGGCTTGTTTGCCCTGCTCTTAGGGCACTCAGAGGTGCCACACTTGTTTCAAGGCAGCTCAAGGATCTCTGCTATACACACATCAGTAGATATTCGGAGAGTTTTAGCAGCAATTCAGGACCTGCAGGGTGGTCTGGAATCTGGGACTGCATCCCAGGGCCTGGACATCCACGCTCAAGATCCACGGTGGCTTCAGAGCCCAAGGAGGTCCCCAGCTCTGTTGTTCCTCACATTCGTGCTACACGGGCAGGGCTGTCGTAAGGGTGAGCATCTAGCATCTGAACTGCTGTGTACGGCCATGACGCAGATCATCCGGGATCTGCTCCAACTCGTCTTTGCGCTTGACCAGATGAGAGGCTGAGGTGAGGCAGCCGCACACAGTGACAAGATGCCCAGGTCATCTGTCACCTCGCCTGCTGTCAGGAGTGACTCGGAGCTCTCTGACTGCTGCTTGGTGGCTTCCACTTGATTCATTTTTAATGGATTTAAACACCACTATGTGCTTTTGCTAAATATGCTTGCGTTTCTATCTGTGCACTTTGGCAGTTGAGTTACTAAGGAGCTCTTAAATATTTATTGACTGTGTCTATACACCACACAAATCAGGTCCATAAATTTAGCTCTTAGAATTACTTTGCACTTTATGGTCTACTTGGATGTTTACCAAAGACTTTCTGAATGTTTTCTTTCTTGTGCCATAAATAAACAAGGGACAGTTTTAGAAACAAACTTCAGCTTGAGTAGGAAATCGAATATCCAGAGCTGATACTGGTTCTGTAGCCCTCTCAGCTATCAGTTGAAACTTGCCTTATTATATCATGCCAGATTTCTGAAAGCAATATGTAGCAACATGTCACATCGCAACAGACAGGGCTTTTCCAGTAACGTCTTGACAGAGCCTTTTGTTCCGTGGAAAACACCCAATTCATCCAAAAATCCCCCAGGAACATATTGATGTCAGCAGTATGAAGACAGAATTTTTTCACAGAAAGAAGAGCTGCCACTTTTGGAGTTGCACAGCCTGCAGAGCTGCACATCCACGTCGTGCTCCTTTGGCTGGCACAGCCCAGCCTCGCCAGTCCATGCGGGCAACCTCGCAGTCCAGCTTCTCAGCAGGGTCTCCTTACCCAGCAAAGGGGCAGGTCTGCAGCACCCCAGGCTCCTGGGCAAAGCACAGCCCAAGTTCCCCTCTGCCAACCTTGTCCTTGTTAGAAGGCCTCTTATCCCTGCCTCCAGTGAGGGCATTTTAGGCTGTAAAGGGGATTTGGGTCCGTTTCCTGCCTAGCTCCATTACACAACTACCTCGCTGGAGCTGCATTGCTGAATTTTACCATGACACACAGGTTAGGAAATCAGCTTAAAAATACCAGTGAGTGAAATCGGGCATGCAAGAAATTAGAAACACAAAGCACTCAGTTCCTCAGAATGGAACTGAAACCACTGTGAAAATTTAATTGAAATACTTCTGTTTTCTCCTGAAGATGCCTTGTATATACAGAAAAACAAAGCAAACTCAAGTTATTAATAAGCAACGACAAGCTGGGTTTCTGCAGCTTTCTACCTCTTCYAACTCAGCAAAAAAGAAAAGGTTTATTTTTAGCATTTCTTTAGCGCTTTTTTGTTTTTGCTGATAGCAACCTCCCTGTATGCACACAGAATTTTTGCTTTGTTTTCAAGAGCAGGTGATACACAAAGTCACCTGTTAGCTCTGTCTCTAAAATCTCATTAGTGGACATTTTAAAGACATCTGTCCTTTCATCTTTATTCCCTTCGATATTCACTCCTCTGTCAGTGATGAGAAATTAAGGAAGGAATTCAGATGCTGAGGGCAAGCTCTACTAATGCAGATCTTTGTAAACCTCATTGGCATCACATGTATCTGCCACATATGACACCATATTGTAACAGATTTTCACAAAGAGTTCTCCTCTACTTTTTTTCCTGAAGCTAGGTATTTTCCAGCAGCATGCTGAAAATGCAGAACTAATCCTGTCTTCTGACCCTGTGTGGCACAAAGAAGAACAGTGCCCTGGCTCCTCAATTACTACAGGGCACTACTAGAGGTGAGTCATGACAAAAGGGACTCTACTTCCTAACATTTTGAGTCTAAATTCTTTTTCCCCTCTGCATATTATCCTGTGGGAAGCTCATGGCCTAGGACTACAACAAGGAAAGGGAAAGTGTAAGACATGGTATGTTGCCTGGAGTTTTGGGGGCTGTGGCCTGTTATTGTGGGTACTCAGGCTTGGACAGAAACCACATTGTACTATGTGGTCTACATGCACATTTTTTTAAAAAAAAGGTGGAATCTGTCCCCAGCAGGTTACAATCTAGAGAGAAAGTACCCAGTGCCTGACCTTGTTTTGGTAGTATCTAAACAGAAAGCTGGTGTGCACGTGGTTTTATTCCTATTTAGACTGTTAGAGTAACTACAGTACTGAACACCAAAGTGACACAGGAAAAGAAACCAACCTTCACCACTATATTTCTATAGTCTTACTGTTGGGCTATGCGATAGAAAYGATGCATCTTTACTTGACAGAACAGTAATTCTGATCTGTTCCTGAACTCTTGAGGGCCTGCGTGTTCAGGATATCAGGGCCATGCAGTCTTCCTACAGCAAGGAATTGCAGCTGGAACTGCAGGCTGCCGCTAGCAATGACGCCGTTTTTGTGTAGCTGTCACACAAGGGGGGCTCTCAGCCTGGGAGCTGGATCCAGTCTGTGCTCTCATTGTGCCATCCAGTTAGTCGCTGCGTTCCCATTAAGCGCCCCTACCGCCTGCTCGACTGCGGCAGCTGCACGAGCAACAGAAACCCAACCTGCTGGCTCCASAGCAAAAAGAGGAGTTTTTTTAAGGTTAGATGTCTCCATTTAAGGATAGGTACCTCAATAAGTCAAGTTGAAATTATACATTTTAACTAAACTTTAAACTGCCTCCTCATGAGGGTGGGCTCTTAATAACAGACTGTTGCCTGTCGCCTAAGTCTCGCTCCTCCTTCCCTCACTGCACTGCTGCTATGTTTAATTTGCACATGGGGTTTTGAAAGCATAAGATGAGGGAGTAGTTTTCAGCACCTTGTAGGATGCCATTCTGAAACATAAAATACTCAAGATTGCTTCTGTGTAGCAACTGCAATTACAATGTGATTAGAATACATATGAAACCTGAGACATACTCCCAYTGTGTCTGTTGTTCTATTTACCTGACCAAATTAATTACTGTTCTTAGCAAATAATCCTTAAATTTAAGAAATGTGCTATAACCACAGAGGTTCAGGCTGAAATTAATTTATTTCATGATCCTATCACTTGCACTTTTTCAGTAAGTCACTATTTGGGGTAAATCATGGGCATATCGTTCCTAGTCCAGAATCTCAGTGGGTGCACAGAGGAGTTTGAACTTCTTTCTGAAAGGGCTACATGCTGCTTTTCTTCAGCTTTGCTGTTTAATTCAATTTTATTCTACTTTATTAAGACACAAGTCTTAACTTTCCTCTGCCTCTCTGCAGGGGCTGCCAGGAGACAACTCATTGATTTAGGACTTCCCGCTCTAATTCAAGCCATGATCCCAGAGGAGCAAGGGCAGCTTACAGCTTGGCATAAAGCTCCTTGAGAGTGTTTTCAAACATTAAACACATGAATTAGTCCCCAGTGACAAGGAACAGGGAACTGAACAACAGGTTCTAAATTTCTGGGATGTATTATGCAGTCCTTGACATTCCTGATTGCAGAGCTGCTGATGACACCCCAGGAACCAAAAAATGACTCCCATCCAACACAAAACTGCAGAAAAGTTTTGCCAATGTATTCTAATCTCTCCAGATCTCCAGCTATCCATCCATATCTGTCAACTGATACAGGCATAAAAAAAAAAAAAGTAATAAAACATCAGAGTGGTTTATGAAATATCACTRCCTACTTTGCCAAGGTAGAGATCAGAGAGATCAGAATTGGCCTAATCGTGTTAAGGTTATCACACATGGTAACTTACCCTGAACCAAACAGTTGCATTGCTTCTTGTATCTGATCTAGCTTGCTGGACTGTTTTTGATGTCTGTACACTGCACTACTCTGCAACTAGAGAATGAAGTATGTGTTTTACTAAACCTCAAAACAAAAGCAGGCCTTTTTGATACACGAACAATACCACTCTCTGATGTCTTAGCAACAGAGTTCCTTACAAAGTAAATGATTTGAAGCTGTGGGTAGAGACTCTTCTTTAGATTCATATTATATAGAAAAAGAAGAAAAAAATACTATAAAAATGAAATTAGATAGTCTTACAATATCCTGGTACTCACATAACAATAGTTTAAATTTACTTCAATTTAGAAACAGATTTAAATTAAATAATATTTTTCACATAGAGAAAAAAACACAGCTTTCTCAATAGTCAGACAAGAACATTCACACTCATTACATGCACTGCAATTAACTCTAATAATTTTCAATTGTTCATCAACCACCACAGTCTGTCGCAAAGTGAACAATCAATGTATTTTACCCATTTTCTACCACCCTTCCCTTCAGGCACAGGTGCTCAGACCAGGATGTGTCACCTGTGCTACTGSCTCCTGCAGACAGCCCTTCAGCACCAAGGTTTCACTCCTGGCACTAGGCACCCAAAGGACTACCCGGCTTTCCAACAACTTGACAGGTTCTTCAGTTGCAGATTTTTCCTACTCTAGAATTAGGGTCTGACAGCACAAAAGCAGTAAAATCCAAAAACATGCAACACAAAATGCTCTCTGTATAAACAGAATATATTTTCATCTCCCTTGCTTCTTCTTTGTGTTTCACTTAGTTCACCTTTCAGTTCTTTTTTCACCATTATATCTCCTTTCCTGCAACACAGCAATTTTACAGTGTCTCCAAAAGCTCAAAATGTAGAGTTCAAAACTCTACATTCAAATAATAAAATATTGAACTCTATTCAAATAATAAAATATTCAAAGGGATCTGATACCCAGCATGTAGAGATAAACAGTAGATAAATACCCAACAAGTAGAGATATCCTATCAGATATAAAAGCAAAGTGACGATCATTGCTTCAGACAAGTTTGTACAMCTCAGATGTCTAGTATGTTCTTGTGCTTAAGCTGTTTGAAGACAGTACTTCTGGGGAAATGTAAATATACAAAATAATTAAGAAAATAAAATCCTAATCATCAACCTTCTGAGGAAACATCCTGTAGAAAACACCTTCCCATCACTTTTTTACTCTCTGACCTCCAGATTTCCCTCGTTTAGGAAAAAAAAAAAGTCACATCCCTCTCTCCCAGTTCTTATCTTCCTGTCTCTACAGCTCCATTTCTTTTACGACTGCATTCTTCATTCCCAATATGTACTTATGGACTTTGATCTAGTCAGTGTCCCTGGCAAGTAGTGGAGTATCTTCATGCAACTTGCAATGGATTCAAACCTCAAGCCTCCATATAACTGACTCAGGGATTGTGTTAAGTGCACAAGATGTTAATGCCACTTGTGTAAATGATTTCTGTTAAATGGGGACTGTAGACCTAAGACATTATGATGATGATATTAAATTAACCTATTCAGGAATAACCTTAGGTAATCCCTTCGTTATTTCCACAATTTTCAGGAGCAGAAACAGAAAACATTTCAAGAAACTGTAACTAAACTCTCAGCAATCAACACTGAATTCTATTGGTATTTTCTTGTGAAAATAACTTTTTTTTTTCCTGAAGGCCATTCTAGGGCATCCTTCCATCCCTCAGAAAGGTAAGTTACTACACAGGTTTCATTGCAAGTCAAATGTAAAAGAGGAGGATCACACAGTAAAAGTGTGTGTTTATGTGGCAATACACTTAGCACTGGCACAGGCTGCCCAGGGAGGCTGTGGAGTCTCCTTCTCTGGAGATCTTCCAAACCTGCCTGGATGCCGCCCTGTGCCCCATGCTCTGGGTGTCCCTGCGTGTGCAGGGGGTTGGACTAGATGATCTCCAAAGCTCCCTTCCAACATTAAGGATTCTCTGAGTCTACCAAATTCTCACTTGAGCATGTGGATTCTTCAACCCGTCCGCAATTTTTACAGTTCTTTACCATGCTCATGGAAAAAGCTGATTTTGCTACAGATAGCTCAGAGACACTTACCCAGTGGTGTAAGGTATGTTTATGCCGCCCAGATTAATGCTTTCGCATCCAACAATGAAGAGAGTGGAAAAGCACAGCAAAGACACGCCGCTGCAGATCATGGCCAGCTTTGCGGACTCCCTTGCGCCGAGTTTCAGCTTTTTTATGATGTAGCCGCCTAGGACAATACCAACACCAGCACTTGGGACAATAATCACACCTGGTAGGAAGGAATTGGAGCTAGATTAAGGCAGAACCTATAGAAGTGGAATAAAATGTAAACATTGGCTTCATTCCCTCACTGGATGACCACAGACTCTGTACTGAGAACTCCATTGTCTGCTTCTCCACTGGCAAAATGAGTCAGATTTTTCAACCCTTTGGAGTGTTGTCAAAGAATTAATAAAAGACTCCTTATGATATTACCAGAAGCCAAAGCACTATAAGGGAACTATTGTATCTACGAGCAGAAATATTGCTTTGTATTTATTTTAGAAATTGAAGTAGGGATACATATTGCTCCAGTTTAATTACGGGAAATTTGGGGAAACCTAAACCTAGGCATGAATAGTCCTCTTCCTATTCTCATGATATATCCAGGTGAAACCAATGTGTTGACTCAAGGCAAGTTGCAGAGACCTGTGGAAATGAAGTGCATGAATGAGCCCGCCAGGGAATTCTGCACCATTTCCACGCCTGCCATTTGGGGATTCTGCTGACTTTGCTCCTATTGAGTAGCACTTTCCAGCATCTTTTCAACACATTCCCAAGCATTCCAACACGAGCACTTGCAGCACAAACTATGCTCAAACATAATTTAAGAAATTAAGACTTTGGAATCAAATCACAGAAGGTAAGTTTAATACACAAAAGGTATCTATAAAGGAAATCCCTGCTGCTTTGCTGCTACAGACTTAAGGTGGGAAGTGTGATAGTATGTCACTTCTCAGGGCAGCTGTTGTTAAGAGATTTCTTGTACTTCTTGGCTTTTCTTGGCTTTTGCTTCTCACTGACGTGACTGAAGGTCTTTAAATAAGGTCTTTGCTAATAAAGATGCATTACACAGAAATATGGAATTTGAATAGCTTTTGGCAGCTGCATCGTAGGGAGAATAAAGCTAAATATTATAATCCACATTCCTAAATTTGGGGGTTTATTCTTTTTAAAGAAGACTGTAAGACTACCACTGGAAAATATATTTAATATTAGTGCAAACCCTTCTCATTTTGTGATCATTTGCCTGAAGGTAATTTGTGAAGACACACTGCATTTATTAAAATGTTGATATTGTGAAAGTAAATATGARAGGCAAAATGAGGGAGATTCTCAATAGTAACCCTTCACAGAATCAGAAAGACTTCTCCCCAGAAGAAGAGAATTTAAATAGAGCAGAATTTAAAGTCTTCCTAGGAAAGTTAAATGATCTTACAGTGTTCAAAGCTGTTATCTCCCTGGATTTCAATGACTGAATGTTGAACAAGGGAAAGAAGTAATTCCAGTCCTTTCCCTTGCACAGAAAATGTTCCCTTTGGATAAAAATGAGAAATAACAAAACAGCACCTCAGCAATTGAAGTCTACCATGCATAACCTGCTCTAAGAAATCTATTTCAGGAAAGTCCATGCAGACACTGAAGGAAGAAGAGGATCCTTTGCAGGGTCTTTTGAACATCAGTATCAGAAACTCCATATTCCATGGACCAAATCCTAGGCTACATCAGCTATATCAACTAAGGAACTAGCCCAAAGTAAGGGCTTACTTCCAGTAAATAATTCTCAGCTATTTCTTTTACTTCCATGTTACAAGCTTTTGGGTTCTCTTTTTGACTTAGATTTATCTTTTCTTTCTTCTTCTCTTGATTGCCTTTATTTTGGAAGAGAATTTTCTTAGGTTCCTATCTAGTACCTTTTCAAAAAAGACAAGTGAATTTCAAGCAGGAGATGAAGGTAGCGGTTCTTCCCTTAGATGAATATGAGAAAACTGCCCTCCAAGGTTATCCCTCATTCAGGATGTTGGAAGGGGGAGGGAAAACTTAGATTCAGGATTTATAGAGAGCAATTCCTCCCTGAAAACTGCRCCTGGGAGTAGCAAAACTCTCTGGGAGACTGAAAGGGCAGGGGCATGAACCTGCAGATTTAGCTCTTTGCGGTGAAAGCGGCAGACAGAAACTCATTCTTTTTCCATGTGTCAGGGAGCTTGAGAGRTTCTTTTGCCTGAAGTACAAATGTTACAAATGCTTCATCCGTGCACTCCTCTCCTTTCCGCGGGGCATGTGAGACAGAAGTGCTACCCTGTCAAAGCCAGGCTGCTCCTCCAGCGCGCTCCCCGAAGAGCTTCCAGGGCACAGCAGAGCACGTACATCTCACAAGGACACACATTCTGGTTTCTCAAAGTCATTTAGGGGAACAACAATGCTTAAGATGTGCTAGCAAGCTCTTGCACCGCGCTTTCCTTCATTTCATAATGACAGTTTGGCTTGCAGCRATTGTTTGTGTGCCAAATATACTGCTCTCCACAGTGCTGCTGGGCAAGATCAGCTTTCAGTCAGCAATTTTCAAGCTTTGTCCTTTTTGTCATCATCGGGATGTTGCAGCACCTGAGGCTTTTCAGAGAGGCAGAAGATGATCTTAACAGCTACTAATAGTCTGGTACCAGAAAACTGCAATATTGCTAACAAGGCTACGCTTCTAGAGGGAATGGGGAGGAGATTTTCAACCACTTCTGTCTGAGAAACATACTGCATTTGTTTATTTAGAACTAAAACTGGAACCAAGGCTTTTGTAAACATTTGCTCAGACATACATAGTGTGCAACCCTTCTGATCACAAATGATTTGAAGTGTAGCCCTCTTCTGAAGAGACAAGTTGTCTACCAAACCATCTCAAATTTTAAAATGGATTTGTCAAAGATCTACCTAAAGCCCTAGGGTCAAAGTTCTTCTTCTTTTTTTTTTTTTTTCCAGAATTGAGCCAATCTGAAGGCTGAATGCTCCTTGTTTTTCTCATGCAAAACAAAACAGCTAACAGGGCAAGTCTGCACCACAACTTGCTCAAGTTCCAGACCTGAAATATGGCACTATGTCATTTTTACTGAKGCTTAATGCCATATATATTTAAAAATAAAAGAAACAAGTCGAAACTTAGTGAAAGAATAGATGCTTATGAATTGAGATGGAAAATGCCCAATAAAACACTTATTCACAGTTGAAGAGACTAAGCAAGCAGATGATCTCAGCTGYAGATGCATGAAGCACAAATGCATTAAGTTGCAAGTCCTCCTTCTGTTAAACCAGAAAAGCCTGTAAACTGGAAATGTCGTTTACTAGATTAATTAGTAGTAACCTAATACCTTATTTCCAAATTCTCTTTTCTCAKTTTTCCTATAAAAATAATCCAGAATATTTATTAGTTACAACTACTAACATTAATGCGATATTTAGGAGCTGGGAAAAAATGTTTTTGGTTTCTATTGAGAATGAAGGGACTTTTGAAATAGCAATTCCATCAATACTCCCAGTAATGGCATAAACCACTAAAGCAAAACTCATCTATTGTGCAGGAACTATAAATATCAAAAAGAATTACAGTCCCAGCAATCTAAATTTCCTCTCTGTTTTACAGAACACATGGATTTCATGCTCCACAGAAAACTCAGGGCTGCAGAAAAGCCAGGACTGCACAGCTTCCTAGCAAGCACTCATCTCATGGTATTTATCCAASTTCCCTCTCAACAGTTAGCTTTTCTTCCAGTCACCACAGATGACAAAGGATTCTCATGTGACATCTCCAGGTCTTTGTTGCTCTCTTTTACTAATTGTTGTGTTTTTCTCAACTTATGCAGACAWAAGCTTCACCTTATACCTTTACCCTGTCCCCATAACTCTATATCCACTAGTGGTGCAAGCGGCTGATTCCTCAAGGTGAATGGGGATTCACCATCCCAGATGTACTGACTAGAAGTTTGGAGGAGCAGAGAATTAGCAGCTATTCTGCATAGGAAGCAGAATGGAAAAGGCACAAAAAAGATGTTTACAAGTGGAAAAAAAAAAGCTGGAGATTGAGACAAGCATCTTTGAGGCAGCTAGGAGGAGACTTCCATGACCCGGGCCCCAATTCTGCACAACACTTTGTAGCCAGGGCTCCTTTCCCTAGGGAAGCTGCAGGTCAAGAACATCGCCTTAAAGTTAAGCTTTAAGCCACATCAAAAGTCGGACGTGACTGCGCATTGCAGTGGGGGGCAGGGGAAGTGCAGAAGAGGGAGCCTCAGAACTGGRGAGACAAGGGAGGGCTGTGGAAGCTCTTCTGGCTAGGCCGCGCTGTTGAGTGCTCGGTCTTAGTTTGTAAATATTGAGGAGAGCACCAGGCTGAAGGGGAGAGATGAATAAGCAGAGGATGGCAGGGATAAACAACTGGTCACTGGGGAAATGGAAAGATTGGGATTTTTTAAAGATCAAAGCAGAAGGAAAAACCATATAATGTAGGAACAGCTTTAAAATATCTTTTAAGATAAACAAATCGCAACAAAAAAATATCTTTTAAGATACACAAATTGCAACAATGCCTACAGGTTTTCTAGCTGGTTTTTGTTGCTTCTCCTCCCTCCCAACCAGAAGGCATGAACATATTAGAAAATATCACTGCCTGGACTTATGCAACCCCCCCCAACTTCTTAACAACATGAATTTATTATTTAGTTGTTCACTAAACAAACATCGCAAGCAAGCATCAAAGAGCAGTTTGTGTAACTAACTGAATGCACATAGTTGGATGCAATCACTTGCAATTCAAAGCAAGTTTGGGGTTCCTGTCCATATTTATTTATCTCCCTGGTCAGAGAAAAACAACTTTCAATGTTATGGCAATGCCTTACCAGTGTAGATGCTGGCATTGGAAGCTGGGATGCCAAACTGTGACTCGATGAACTTGGGAATGAAGGTAATAAAAGCTGTAACAATGGCACTCTCAGCTGTGTATGACAAACTCACAAAAAGGAATGTCATGTTGCTTAAGATCCTGACAGCTGCTCTTGGAAGCTCTATAAAATGACAAAAAGATGACGAATGTTATAAATAATGAGTGAAAAAAACAAATGCAAACTGAAACAAAACAAATTGATTTTCTTTGAGATGGACTGTAACTAATGGCTTGTTAGCATCTGGCTACATTTGCTAAGTGGAAGGAAGAGAGTGCATATTTTGGATTGCAATCTCTTTTGTTTGCTCTTTTGCTGTCTTAACAGTATCACCCTGGGGCTGCAGTCCCATTTTTCACAAATAGAACAGACGTCTGTTTTAACAAATCTGTCTGGAGAAACAGGGTCTATCTACATGATAGCACTAAAAGAAAGGAGAAACAGCAGAATACRTAGCAAATAAGACATATTGATGTCTTATTTCAAAATTTTGTGTGAGATAGGCATATCATACTGCCGAGCTTGACAGCACTGAATTTTGGCACCGCACAAGGAAAACAGACCACATACTTGCCCTGTAATTGCTTGCTTAAAAGTCTGCCCATGGAATTCAGGGTTAATACTGTAAGTTGAAAAGGATATCAAAATATTTTGAAACAAAAAATTTTGCAATTAGAAAGCCCCTGTGGATAAAGCACAATGAGGTTGTTGGTGTCAACAAATTTTATTTACCCACAGCTCATTTAATATCCCCAGAAGGGAGAAAACTATAAACCAAAAGTCATGTGTTCTCATTAAGTTAAATGGAAAAGGTATTCATAGATTTTCAAATACTAAAAGATGACATTTGGAACTGAAAAAGCGATTAAATACCTTAAATTCAGTCCTGAAGTYAGGTGTTCATCACAAGATGATGATAACTGCATTCAAACTTGGGTGTTTTTATTTTGGTTTTTTTTTTGGAGCGGAGGTAGGGGAGGCGGTTTATAAGATGATTCCTAAATAGATTTTTTATTTTGTTTTGTTTTCTTGGGGTTTTTGCAAGGTCAAATGTTCAGCAAATCTTATATGCAGCCTAATGTAATCTAGGCTTTTTTTCATTTGCTTTTCTCTTGTATGGAAATTGAATACAGTCTCAACTAAAGYCCACTGAATTGAATGAGCAGAATTCCCATTAGAAATTTAAGATATTGAATAAGCGCAGAACAGCGGGACTCCTGAGGGAGAATGTTAAAAGCTGCCAAGGCAAAAATCTATCTCACTTACTCATCTGACTTCAGTGGGTTATCTAAACAAAAGAAGCAGAATTTAGACTCTTGTCATGTCAAAACTCGTCAGACTGCAAATTAGCACCTAAGTCGTCTGACTGCACCGAACTTCTGCCAATCCTCAGAAATTATAGTGAATTCACTATGAGGACAGGATTTGTAATTGTAATGTAGCCAAATGCTCTCCTGCTGCCTCTACAAAGAAAAATATTAAATGCTAAATATAAAATCGAGTGTAAATAAGTAATGAATAAATCATATTAGGAAGGACTCATATTCAAATTCTCATAATTTTAAGCACCTRCAGTTTGTTTTTTAATTATGGTAGTGTACAATAGCAAATCAGGGAGAAAAAAAGGTGATACAAGTGAATATCCATGTGAATATACAGAAAGTGAATTCCACATGTACATAAATACTTTTGGAAAGTCATTACTGCAGCAAGCACAAACAGAAAAGAGTATTAGAACTTATTGGCAAATACGCTGCCAGTTCGAAACACAGCTGATCAATTGTGTTATCCCATCGTGCAAGAGGAAATGAAAAAGGACAAACAAATCAAAGCTCTGCAGTACCATTAAATGGCACTACCTCATCATCTTCTGCTTTGTACCTCTTTTTAGTTTGCCTTTTGCTTCAGTTGATGGGGCTCAGAYGTAAAAAGCAAACAAAGATGATGATCAAGGCTCATTTTAACCCAGATTTTACCAAGATGCATCAAGCAGATGGGACGTCCTCACTAGCATTTTTGTTTGATTTTTGTCCTCCCTATCAAAGATTCAGTAAAAGAATAAAGGTATGTGTTTGAAAACCAATTATACGTGTGAACATGTCTGGGCAGTAATAGTGGGAGAAGCCTCAGCTTTGAGCCATGTCATGGGTCTGCACTAGCATTTAAACTGTTCATAGCTATCAGAATCACGTAGAATATCTACACAGAGGTACTACTGTTTCAAAAAATCCCTGGACACCTGAGAAAGAAACACAACCAAATGTCTCTCATTTTTCATGCTCCCAAGTAGAGAACAATGATGTAGAATAAGTGCCGGCAGAAGAGTGACTGTGAACAAATCTTATCTAATAAAAAGCTACATTTATACACCTGGCATCTCTGCACAACAGAATACAAGTGGAAAAAAATCGGAAGACAGTAACCTTCAAAAGACATTGGGGCGAGAAATGACATTTTATCAGGATAATGGTGCTSATTATCGAAGTGAACCAAAAGTCCTTGAACCAGACTAGGTCCAAAATCTTTGCTAAATCTCACAATTTGAGAGAGTCAAAATGTTGTAATATATGGTAAGGCTTAGCTCTTCCTGGCAAAACTGAACTTCAGGAAAGTTTAAGGTTTAGAACCTTTGAAGTAAAACTACAAAGGAATTAATTAACTAGAGAAAACTGGATCTGAACTACACTTGGCTCTGGCAAATGTTCTGATGAGGAAGCTGTTCCTTCTGTTGGCTCCTACTGACATCTTTCAGGATACTGAGTGCCTGGTACAACAGTCATTATGAATATGAGAAATAATATTTTCAAAATGGGTTTCTACAGACGAGTAGATAACACTCAGACTGTCTTGGAATAAATTCAAGTCTCTAACAAGTCTTCTAACCCTGTGAAGAATTCTTCTTTAGAGGCCAGGAACAGCCTTCCTGCAGGCTGCACTCAACCTGTAACAGGTAAGAGTTGATGCTCTCTGCCACTTCTGAAGAGTAGCTGACTGGCACAYGTGGAAAAGATACTAAATATTAATAAAAATACACATGCATAATTAGGTTTTCCCTGTTTTCCTTCTGTGATTACAGTAAAAWCTGTGTAACAGAATCTTTATTAGACTTCTTATTAAAAAACAACTATAATGGAAAGAGAAATAAAACATCTTACCTTCTCCAAGCACACTAATTTTAAGAAGCAAGAGGGATAGCAACTTTAAGGATCCAGTGCTTTGCACTACATAACCCTCMATGCATTTAAAACATTTCAATGTCATGTTATTTTTGTAAGGTCTATCAATCAGCCATAGGCTTAGTCTGTTATTTCAAGGTCATTATTAAACCTCTCAGGCTCAGTTCTTTTTTTTTTTTCTTTTTTTAACAGTCTCATCATCTGTCACTTTTACAAATATAAATGAGAAAGAAAACTGAGAGAATCTGCAGTTTCCATTATTTTGTCATTTCAGCAAGTAAGTGTCTATCAAGTTTATTCTGAAAATTGAAAGGATCTTCTAACATGACTGCAAACATGCCTGCTCTGCTGTGTAGCAATTCAAAGCCTAAACATTCCCATTTTTCTTTAAAAATATATGGAAAGTAAGTTTTAAGGCATAACTTGGAACTTGCCTTGCTGGATTGCTCTGCTGGCTTGCTGGTAATTTGATCCCTTTCCTGATCTTTGACCAAAAAAAATRTTTTCTAGTCAGCAATTGCTTTCTGTCACTGGTGCACTGCACCACGGCTTGACTCAAGGGAAAGGCAGTAAAATTTAAGAATATGAAACAAGGCACATATTTATAGATAGTGCTGTAGGTAACATAAAATTCTTAAAACGTTATAAAAAAAAATCAATAAAAAAATCAAATGATTCCAACTTTACCTCCTTTTTCTTAATTCAATGTATTTTCTTTCATTCCTATTCCTGTGTATTTAGCCAAAAGTGGAGTATGAAKGTAACCAAGGTAATAAAATATCCCAGTCTGTAGCACTATCTCCTTGTAGTCCCTCAGGAAACCCCCTTATGCAGAAGATACAGATAATTCCTTCCCTTTGCATCAAGCTCCTACAGCTCTATCCCAGATTTGAGTATTCCGATTTGTGGGAGGCTGAATTCAGGTGAAGCCCTCAGGAATTGCTGTTGCTCTTGCAGAGTACAAGGCAAAGTCAATATTTGAGATGGAATCTCCACTTTGTTTATGAGAATGGAAATACACATTTGATTTAAGCATTAAATCCAGAATAATGCTTTGCCACATGTGTTTCATTATCTACTCACATAACACTTAAGCTTTCTCATTCAACTAGCTTCCACAAGGAGATGCCTTAAGCCCCTGGGTGGCAGCCAAGCAGTTGAACAGTCTGTAGAATCCCACCAAGAGTAGGGAAGTTTGAAGTGCTTTTGGTTTGATTATTATTATGTGTTATTAGATTTAGGGTGGTTTCTCAAGGCTTCGGATAGGACTGCTCATTGCTGCAGTGGGTGATGCCAACATGATCTACTTTAAGTTATCCAAGACGGCAAAATAATGGGAAGCAAAAGGATCTCCACTCCACGATCTACCAAACTCTGACAGTTCTAGGGCTCACAAAGTACCTTTGCACACAGACTGATACCTTCCTCCTGCTCTGCTGATTCTTACTGAACAATCTTTGCCCATTACAGAAACTGCTATCAGAGTTTATGCGATGGCCTTGAGTCATGAGTTGTCTTCTTTTAACTTTGCTGATGCCCTGACAATCATTATTAYCCTGCCTTTATCCGGTACAGCCTGACTGGGAACAGCATATGGGTTGGTAGACATGGAAATTCCATATTTAAGAAACAGCTCAGGGCTGAYATTGATTTATTTATATGTATATAAGCACCAAACAGCCTTTTTTTTTCTTTTRCAGAAAAGCAAAGATTATAAAATGCATATAATTAACACCTTTCAGAATTTAGATCTGCACATTTTAGGTAATACATGCATTTTATTTCTTTACAGCATTCCTTTATCCAAGCGCACAAGTTTCGTTACAGTATTAAGTATAAGGGATTAAAAACACAGCTTCTCTGGTACAAAATCCAAGGTTTTGTTTTTGATCTGCACAATAAAGGAAAACTGTGTTTCTGACYGCTCAAGTTCATGTTTTATCCGCACCTATGGGATTGAACCATAGTTTCTTCTTTATACACCTCCTCTAGCTCATGTTTTTCATACTATCTTCATTTCTCCATTGCAATTTTCATCCTCCTATATCATATTTAATTTTTGCTATTTGTCTCAAGCATTCTTCCTCTTACATTGTTTACTTGTAGTATATGAAAAAAAAACTCTTAGCGGAGTATCACATCAGTGATATACACAAGTATAGAACAGAAAATGTGACTTATTAAATCATCAGTCTCTCAGCTATCGCCTAGGTGGAGTTTCTGCCCATCTTTCTATAAAAAGATTGGGCAAAATAGGAAGCCCTGAAATTCAGTGGGAAGTTCGAGATGCACATCCTAGCTCAAAAGAAACAATGTTAAATGACTTACACACGTGACCCCTTTTTCATTCCCATTACGAGTGAAATTACCTCAGCTGAGATGCTTGAGGTATGATCTCATTCCATAAAACCCACTTAAACTTGAAAAATAATTAAATGATAGTGCAAGCCTGCTTTCTGCTGGGATAAACGACACCTAATGGGAAAGCTATTATCAGCTGATAGCAAAATACTTCTCAATGTATTACCTATGTTTGCTTGGTATCTTTCTGACACGTGGACTGTTTTTAACTGCTGTTTTCCAGACAGTGAAGTTTCTCTTCTAGAGAAGATAAAAAGGGTTGTAAATGAGAAACTATGATTTGGGGACTACCATTAAGATATTCATAGAAGATTCTGTTAATAAAAGGTGTGGCATACATTTRAGATGATACTTAAGAATGATACTTAAGACTATACTTAAGAAACACAAACTAAAATCAGATATACAGAAGTTGTGGTTCCTGTGAGGGTTAAAAAAAAAAAAAAAAGAGGAGGAGGAGACTGGCAAAACTATCTTAGACGTGTACTTGTTGATTTGTGTATCATCTGCTCTGCCRTTAATGAAACAATATGATCTGGAAGGTGAAATTCTGCATGGAAATTGAAAATCAGCATCAGCAAACTCATCTAGACACAGAGCTTACCTGGAAACCCGTATTCCAGATAAACCTACAGAATGAGTGTTTGGCAAGATTGCCTCTACTGATGAGGAAGCAACACAAGAGGCACTGTGCCCCCCTTTTGCTCTTCACTGAATTAGTGTGCTAGGAATATTCCAGAAGTATTTTTGATAGTTGGGAGGCCAGTAAGTTTGAAGGCCAAACAAAGCAACTAGCTTTATGAGTTTAAGAGAACACATTATGTGAGTAAGCCGTAAGTACAGGGGCAGGGAGTCTTCAAAGCAAGTTGTACACTGCATTTCCTTCTACTTCTCAGTGCACAACTATTTGAGACGCTTTGGATTGATGATTGTACCGGGAACTATTATGTTGCAAAGAGAAACAAAGAGAGGACTAGGTCCTAAAGAATCTGCTATTGCAGGTTTACTTTGCTTACTGTGAGACTTGACTATGATGCCACTATGTGAGCTAATAAAATCAACACAATATAATTTATGGCATCTGTTTTTCGTAACCTTCCACAGAAACAGGCAATAACTTCAATTTTCCTAAGGGTATCAGTATAATTGCAATGCAAAGTACACCTGTATGTATGTAGGCAAACATCATTTGAACTGTATTTAGTACTGGTATGTCTTGGCTACTGAATAAAATGAGGGCTCATAATTGTATCATCAAAAAGTTTGTCCATCATATTGATATCCCTCTAAAGGTAACCCTTATTTGTGTCAACAAACAAACACTTAGAAAGTTTTGAGTTCAAATTACATGTACACCACAGAATGTAACAGTTCTTAGGATTTCTCTTAGTTCCACTGTATTTACCAGCTACCACAAACACAGTCACAGCTACCACAAATCAGCAGTCATGTCAGGGAAACCAAACAGGACACAACAGTACTGATAACAGCATTAAGGTTAATTCATTCTTGCCCTGTACTGTTCAGTATTACAACACTGTAAAGTCTATGCTGTCAACTCCAAATTATATGCTTCATATTAATTCAGTTTTTAACACTGCCTTTTTTCCCCACAGCATTGTATCAATGACTAGCTGTTACATTTCACATTAATATTGTACTTGCTGAACACAAAAATTCCTATTACTTGTCACTTTGGTCTCTTCTTGCTTTAAAATTCACACTAGCTTATTCATCCTGCCCCTCTGAAAATAAGAAACTCACAATGCACAACTGTTGTGAAACACATATGAGCTAAAATTGTATTTCTGTAATAACATGTCCAAATGCATAAGATAACACGTGCTAGAATTGTCTTCCCTTGTTTTGCCTGTGTTGTGGGAAAGGAACGCTTCATTCTCTGCAGAACAGCTTAAGAACATGCGACAACTACACGCTGCTAAGTGCACAGACCTGTTGTGAGCAGGTATCACACAACCCTGCAACAGAGAGGGAGCAGAATAGGAAGGGAAGGGAAGTGCACCAGTTCATCCAAGTGAGTAGGCTGCCTATTTGTGAAAAGCGCACATTAAACGCACTCCAATAGCTCAAGTAAAAGGAAGCCTTACCTTTATAACTGCATTTGGTAAATTTTAAAAAAAGGACAATCTATTAAAACCTCTCTCAAGAGCAAAACACAACATGGAATAGAACATGACAGAATTCTGCCTTTGGCCAGACCCATACAGTCCTAGAAGATGACCTTGAAATTCGAAGCATTTAAAAATTAAAAGCAAAACTTCACCTTTAACATTTTTTCCAAATCCCATAGAGGCAGGAACAGCATTGTCTGCTTGTATTTTGCTATTTGTTTTCTCTTTCATGACTTCATCCTCACTTGAAACATCATCGGAGTTCATCTTCTTTTTCTTTTTCTTTTTTTTATGCCGAGGGGGGAGCTTTTTTGGAAAGGTAAACATTGGGAAGATCACGAGGAGCATTGCAATGGCACAAAGGAGAAATCCACTCCACCTAATGCCAGAAAATAGGGAGAGAAATGACAGCAAATGCATTACATGAAATAAAAATATCCAAGTGATTATGATAGCCTCTACTAGTTAGAAGGAAATATATGTAAAATATGTAACACATAAATTAAACTAAATAATTGGAGCAGAGGACAGACTTGACTGCATTAGAACTCTTAATTAGAAGACACTTCTGTTGACTTTTCTATTGATAAAGAAATTAGCAACTATTATCAAATCCCGCCATCTTTGAGTTCCTTTACATTTTCCCCTTTAATTATTATTTAGTCCCAAGTCCTAACTGGTAGAATCTCAGGATCTCTCTGCCTTGCTKGGCTAATCATCATGGAAGAGGGTATCGGCAGGATACAGGATGCTAGGAAAGTGTCTTCACAGGGTAGAAGAAGAGTCACCTTCCCTGAAGCTGACAAGGCAAGTCAGGCAAGACGCCTACCTCACTTTACCACAGCAGTGCCTATGTGCACAGGAGCCCTTCTAGAGAATTCTCTAGAGGTCATCTCCTGCCCGCGGAAAGCAATCGAATATAATCTAATTTCTCCTCTAAATTCATCTTGCAGCGAAAGAATATGCAGGAAACACAGATAAACTCACACTGACACTTCCATAAAAAAGGAAGGCCTCAGAAGTCACCCGCAGAGGTCGTCCAATGCATTGAAAACACGATCCACATAAGAAATCCCTGAAGCCTCAAGTCTGATATTAATCTAATTGACACTAGTGTAAAGGAATTGAATTCAACTCCCTTACTCGAATATCAAGTCATCACAACGAAATACTGAAGCTCTTTGATTTCAAATTATACTTGGTAGGACGATGGTTACATTTTTGAATATCCTTTGCACTTAAAATGGAAGCTGCATCATGAAACTACTTGTCAAATATTTGTACAAATTCTATACATTTAAAAATATGTAGTAGACAGGATTATTTGCACAAGAAAGAAAACACATTTGGCCTCACTTTTGTAACACAAAGATATGGCAGAATGTATTTTTTARCGAGTGCAATTTAATATGCATTATTAAATATGCTTTTGCAAAAGCAAACCAGCAACAAACATCCATAAGTACCACCATTTTTATTAGAAAAAGAAAAATATGAAGGCACACATTTTGTGTGGCAAATCTAGAGTGCACGAAAGTTTTGACCAGTTTTGGTATTATGTAAACAGAAAATCCTCTCTCTGCTCATTTTAGCTGATAAAACACAGGGATTACAAACCAGACTTTTAGGAGGATTACTCAGCACTATCAGGCAGGGAATACATTGGCACAGTGCATTAAAAAATGTGGCAACATTCCCTTCAGGTTCTCGGAGGCAGAAGCAGCAAAGCCCTGATCAAAGGAGCAATCGGCAGCAGTAATACACAGAAATCTGAAACCACCCACTCAGCAGGGAGCAGCAAAGGAAACGGAGCCTCTGATGTAGCAAGGAATGAAATGCGAATCCAAAGGGACCTTTCTGGCAGCGTACCAAGTGCGGGAGATGTCAGAAATGCAGCCCTGTATGCAACACTGAGCGCTGCCTACACTGCTTGTCTTACTGGAGAGGTATCAAAGAACTGGAAAGCAGACAAAAGGGGATATCAGAAATAACAAGAACTTTTATGATGGGAAGTGAGAGGTTGGAATGGGATCTACATTAATTAGAAGATAAGAAATCAAGGGCTTTTTAAAGTCAAAGAAAATATGCAGGGGAATCCCTCAAAGGCATCTGCACAAGCGCTAGGACCTCCAGTGGAAGCAATTAAGTCTAGGGAAAGAGCAGACAGTGCAGAAGGAATTCCTTTTAACTTCTTGTGTGGAACAGCAATGAAAGATAATATGAGAAGATCCAAGCACTGAATGGATTCAGAACTGGGCAAGCACTTAGAAAAGTGTCAGCGAAAGAAAATTTAATTCAAAGTGCTTGACAGACCGCCAAGGGCTGCTCTGCAATTAACTCGATCCCAACACCGTATGCTTGCAGTTCTAAAGGACAACAAAATGATGGGTGATTTCTAGCAGATATCCAAGCCATTCCTTACAGCTACCGTATTCGAATATAAAGCAGTTTGAAGCTTTTGATGGGATTGCAAAGGAACTGGATCTGTAATTTAGGTCAGATCACCTACAAAGAAGTATTAAAAAATGCAGGTCTGTGCAAAACCGATTTTTGTGAAACTCAAGGAACAATCAGACCAGAAACAGTCAGAACATAAAAATTACTCTTACTGTGTTTATCAAAGCTCAAAAGATAAACTAAATTGTCATTCCCTATATATATAGAATTTACTGCTTGGAAAAGAACAATTTAAGTAAAAAATAGGCTTTGCAGCCATACTTGCTGCCATCCCTCACAGTTGCTGTACTTCTTGCTTTGTCTGTAATCATAACCTTGGGTCTTTGACATAAGTGAAGCTAGAAGCTCTACAGCTATAATAAGGGGAAGATGAGAATCAAAGACACTAATTCACTTCAAAGGAGACAACGCTGCGAAATCTTAAATATAACTGACCATTAACTTACTGTAATTGCGCCCTTCTTTTGCAAAGTATGACAGCTCTCTCAAGTAAGCATTAGACTATTCTTGTATTTCAATTTGTGAGATGACACAAATAAAAATAAACTTGGCTACGCGGCACTTCCCTGCAAAGAGAAAATGTCAAGGTCCCAGAAAAGAGATTTCCGTGGAATGAAATGCTACACTCCCAGAGCTATCTGCAGCCGGGCACTTATTAGGGATAAAGGACCAATTCTCATACCACTAATCTTGATTTTAAAGAGCAGATAAAAGATAAAAAGATAAGCCTCAGAAAATGAAAAGAGAATGAAACACAAGTGCTGTGAACATCACAACTTTTAGTAGAGGCCACGGACTGTGAAACAAATGAGTGGAAATCTGCTATCAGGAGATATTCATTAGAAAGTTAGGAGAGAAAAAATAACAGAGAATCAAAAATGAAAGAGAAAGACAAATTACCTGGAATATCTATCAGGGGATTAATCACAGCTAGTTTCTTTACAGATTTAATCATGGTGATAAAAAGAGGAAACTCTGACAGCTTTTACTTGCCTATACTGGCTCAAGTGGGAATGGCCTGCTGAGAGCCCCTGCCTGGCAATTTCCTGCCCTTGCTTGAACCATATTTGCATCACTACTGCTGGCACCCAGCAAAATAATTAAATCACCACAAGACTTGATCCGGTGACAAGAAATTCCAGAGATACATAAAATCCATTTATTGGTTTGACAAACAATCTTCCAAATGCGCCACGTGGGCTCTTTCCACTRGTTTGCTTGCAGGGCCTGGTCTCATCAGGGTTGATGGTCTCAAAACTTAATTTAAAACTCACATGGATATTCTCACTCTGTAAGGCAGGTACATTGGTGGTTGCATTGTAGATAAAATCAAAAGTAAAGCTTTTCCACATTCATATGGCCCAGCTAACTCTAACTAACAGATATATTTGAGGGCTTGTTCACAATTTCTGTTTAAAAGTTCTGATCTGATGCTATCAGTTCTGTCATGTACTTGCTCAAAAACATGTGAAATACGCATTTTACTAAGAAGGTATACTATTTTGCTCTTATTCAAATCTTTTATTCAAGAATAGTCAAAGCATTTTTTTAACACTACACCATACTTGGATCACAAATCTTTCTGTGAAATAAATCAGCATATGAAACAGAGCATAAAGCAATAACCCCAAGGTCACAGGTAAGAAGAGCATTCAGGTGGTTGGTGTCTAATGACAACACTGAAAATGCAGCTGGGCTGTCATATACAAATAAGGGTACTGGGTAAAACAGACTAAAGAAATTATATTCAGATGGTCAAAGTTCACCTCAGAGAGAATTTTTCAAATCAAATGGTCAGGAGATGAAGAGAAACAGATGCAGTCTGACTGGAATGGTATAGTGATAAGGACTAATCCAATGCACGTGAACTGAAACTCTGAACTGAAACACTGAAACTATTTCAGTGACTAAAACTGCTGGAATAGCTCCATGATGTTTGCACTGAGCAGAAGCACACAGGACTCCAGGACAGCGTTATGGGCTGTTATATCAAGAAGTTGAACGGGAGCTAATGATCAAAGCTCTGCCCTGAGCTTCAGTTTGTGCTTCATGTTATGAACACATATGTTATATGTTATAAGTTATGTTGAGGTTGGGAATCAGAGAAGAACCACATTCAAAATGTGGGGAAACAAAGGTGAGCCTTCTGGATGTTCTCTAAGGAGTCAGAAAAAATGATTCAAGGATATTGAAATGCTCCTTGAAATGAGCCTAACACAACAAACTGTTGAGATACAAAATACAGCTATCCTCCTGGGATAATGAATTTAAGTCTCTGCTGAGTTTGTATGATTTTCAAGCCAAATTTAGGAATTGTCTCAGAAAAGCCAATCAAAACCTCACAGCCTTCTTCCCTCACAAGGCACTTCCAAGAAAGTCACACATCAAGGGCTGCCCAAACACACTTAGGAATGGTTATGGTTGTGACATCTCAGCAGCAGCTGTAAGGATCAAAGAAGTGCAGGATCATTTAGTAGCTTACCTCATTAGCTCCCTAAGGCATGAGCCATCACCTCGAGTCTCAAGACTGGCAAGGCCAGTCTGACACCATCCCATCACTTTTTCCTACACCAAGGTAAATGACGCTCACCACTCCTCAGCCGGGCAGTACAGAGTCCACACTCCCAATTCTGCCTGCCTGCTTTGGGTTTACCCACCTTCCATACATCTATCCAGCCTTGGGGAGATTTTCCATGTACTGAGTCCATGAACTTCTTGTGGCAAGAATTTCCTCTCTACCATAATATGACATGCAGTAACTTACAGGCAACTCCTCTTCCTTGGCTTCCTGGCAGGCTTGAACTAGMACTCGAGAGGGACAGTCTCCCTCAGCAACCTGCTGAGGATTTAGAGAGCAGTTTTGAAAAAAGCTTGATTCTTACCAGTTTCCAATGAATCGAGGATCACTCTGGTCAATATAAATGGTTGTCCTAGGATCAACATAGAAACCAATAAGAACTCCTCCTAGTAAGTATCCAGCTGCAGGACCGAGCGCTCCCATTACATACATGATGGCTGAGGAAATAAAAAGTCAAAATCATGTATCAATAAAAGGAATGTTTCATTAGTTATTTATATATAGAACAGAGGATCCAGAAGTACAAGATATCTCTTAAAAGGGAGTTTTGTTCCCCAGAATCTTCAAGAGCTTTTTATTACCATCTTCCAAAGTAGCTACTTATGGATAAATAAAATATCAACAAGAAAGCACTGCCTTCTGCATGATTTTGGCTGAATTATGGATGGAAGCATAAACTGTTTCAGTGTTTTGGAGAGATAACTTATTTGATTTTGACCAAATATTTTTCATATTTGGTAACATTTCCCCTGAATCGATACTTAAGAAGGCTTAAAACATAAATAAAATTAATGGTGAGCAAATAGGAAAGAAATCAGAGGATAAAAAATTTGCTATATGCAAAAGAACTAAGCAAAACATTACAACCTAGTGATCATCAGACTAAAACTTGATTTAAAAGAAGACCAAAGTTAAGAAATCAAATATTCCTGTTTTAGAGACTGACAGAATTACATTTCTATCTGTGTAGTTTGRTCCTGTACAGGCTTGGCCCTGTTGTGTCAGCAGTGCACACACACTATTTCCATATGACTCCTGCCTTATTCTGGAAACATGATCTTGTAATTTTTTTTTAATGTTATTTTTAAGCAAGTCAAAAATATTTTAAAAGCAAGAAAAATGCAAAAATCCCTCTTGCGTGGAACCACACAGACACATAGTTTTTGACAAGAAGACACATAGTTTATGACAAGATCACAGCCTGAATATAGGAAGACAGCAAAGAACTTATCACTTGAAGTAACAGAGCAGCAGATACCAATAGCAGCCTCCTATCTGCTGTGCCTTTCACAAAATTAAGATTTTCAGATTGGAGAGACCAGGCCTGGTTGCTCAGCCTCCCCAGAAGATCTCTTGGAAATCCAATCTTGGAAGTTCTGGGCTCCCCAGTATAAGAGGGAAATGGAGCTTCCAGAGAGGGTTCAGCRGAGAGCACTTAAGATGATTAAAGGAATGGAACTTCTCTTGTATGAGGAAAGACTGAGTGAGCTGGGTCTGTTTTCTCTGGAGAAGGGAAGGCTGAGAGGGGATCTGATTAACATGTGTAAGTTCATGAAGGGGGAATGTAGCGAGGAAGGGGCCAGGCTCTTCTCATTGGTGGCCAGCGATAGGACGAGGGGTAATGGGCATAAGCTGAAACMCAGGCAGTTCCATCTCCATGTGAGGAGGAACTTCTTCACTGTGAGGGTGACAGAGCCCTGGCACAGGCTGCCCAGGGAGGYTGTGGAGTCTCCTTCTTTGGAGATCTTCCAAACCCGCCTGGATGCCGCCCTGTGCCACATGCTCTAGGTGTGCCTGCTKGAGCAGGAAGGTTGGACTAGATCATCTGTAGAGGTCCCTTCCAACCTTGAATATTCTGTGATTCTGTGATCCCCACAGCTCCCCCATGGCTTGTGGGCCTGTGTGACTGTGGAACATACACAGAAGAGGAAAGACTACAGATGTGTTTCATCCTAGTTTGGGACCATGACGCAAGTGAGAGACATCGCTGAACCTGTGACCCAGGAAAGTTTTCCATATCCCCTACAGACGGACRGGGTGCCAGCAGGAGCAGATAAAAATATCTGTTTTGTTTGCCGACAGGAACTGAGCTTTGAGGTTCAGGAATCCTGATCTCATTTCCAGATTTTGCAAGGTAAATATTTGAAAGGCTGTAATTTGTCGCACCCCTAGATCCCATCAGTTCTACCCCCATCTCCTTTCCTGTTCTACTACTGCAAATCCAAATCCAGCACTCAAAACTTTTGAACTAGGCCAAGTTCATCTGCCGTAACTTTATATTCAGAAACCTTTTACCTCAGGATCTTGACCAAACCACCACAACTGCAGCTGTCTTCTAAAGACTGTTGCCTTTCTGCCCTACCCCATTTATTTCCTTCCTTAACACATCACAGTGTTCATTCTTTCTAAGATGTTTCTTCCTTGCTTCCCACACTGTCAACTTGAAAGACAAGAGAGGTTTTAGGGCTTAGTTTATCCAGCCTGATGCCCGCTACCACCGAAACCCCAAGCTCCAGCAGCCTGACTCAGTCACCCTCGCTCAGCTGCTGCAGTCCCACTACCTAGTGAATCAAATAACCTCATCACCAGGTTCCCTGAAAACACCATCTTCATTGAGAAATCTCCCTCTGCAGGTGTTTTTTGTGGATCAGTCACTCCCTGTGGAAATCCACGGAGTACATCRTCTTTAGTCTCTCAAAAAAATTGTGTGTTTTCATCATCGTTTCCAGAATTGTTTTCACTGTTTAAATTTATGAAAGTCATTTTCCCTCTGGACTGACTGTAAACAATGCTCTATGAGACATTTTAACATTGCTACTGAACTGCAAGTAGTTAAGACAACCCTCAAAGTAACTGTGACTTGTGAACTTCCCATCATGAAGAGGAAAAAATAAAAACAACCCCAAGTTCAACCCACTATAATAAATTCTGTTTAACAAATGCTTGCTTGGAATATCAGTGTAAGCAGCTACAGTAAATTCAATTCTCTAAACAGTTTATAGAAATGAAATGCAAAGAGATTATAAGAGTGACCTAATCCATTTATTTCATTCAGTATTTCAAGAAATTACTTTTGCTGTATTTCTCCAGCTTGAATTCCAGTACTGAAACAGAGGTCTGTCCCAGCAGGCAAAATACAGCAATTGCTTGCACTCAGCAACACTGCTCAGCAGTTGTATTATGCACATGTGGTAAATGCAAAGACAGTTCATTTTGTAAACAGAAATACTGTAAAGATAAAAATTACATTGTATACTCCAAATGAGAAACTGGAAAAAAAAAAAAAAAGCTTCATCAAGGACTTCATCACAATCAGACCTTCCTCCTGAAGGAAGGGAACATGCTGAAATATTACATTGCAAAGGCAGGTAGCATGGGATCCAGGTGATTTATTTAGTTTCAGTTAATGAAAACCTGAATAAATCTCTTAGTTGCCTAACTGTAACCTTGACAGAAGCTTATGTTTGCAAGCCATCTTCAAATTTCTAAAGAAATACTATGCTATAAAATGGCAGTAATAACTCCTTCCCTGACATATAATAACAATGCATATTATATAAATGTAAATTTTAGCTCCTTTCCAAATAATTTATCATTTTCAGAAGATAAAATAAGAAAATGGTTGTTTAGATAGAGACATATAACCTTCAAAATTCATCTGATCCTTTCACTGACGAGAAAAATTGTCCCTGCCTCAGCTCTGTCCATACTCAGTGCCAGTATGATATTGAGGATACTTCTCCACATATGTGGGGCTCTCCGAGCGAGGTTCTGTAGATCACTGTCTCTTAGTTGAATTAAAGCCACCTGATAACTATTCATGACAACCGCCTCAGACTAAGGTTCTTCTTCAGAAGCTTGTTGTACCTTACTGCTGCTGTGATGCAGGATCTTAGGTCTTCACGTCATTCTACTGAATTTACCTTATATTTACCAAAATAATTCCAAAGACTTTGCACACTTTTCCAAGTTTGCATTTTCTCTCAAGAACACAAGCTGGGAGGAATGGCCTGTATTGGCTACAGAGCACTTGTTTTCTCTCAGTGCATCCTCTTTCCAGGGACCAGGTATAGCCTTTGACGGCTCTCCCAAACCTGCTTTCCAAATCTCCATGATTTTATTTCCACCTTTTGCATAGATTTTGGAAGGGTAAGGGGCAGAGGCATCATGTCTGAGATACTAGTGTCTGGTATCCATGGTCCCAGTGAGATCCATCCACAGATAGTTTAAGAGCACTGGGTACGTCCAGGCAGGCTTCTCCACAAACCTCCACCACTGCTAACCTGCTGGAAACCTGCAAGAAAGGAAGCTAAGCAAAAAATAACTGAATTACATGTGGCATTTATGTACCAAAGTGAAGTATGACCAAACAATGTCATTGGACTTCTTCTCTGTTGAAAAGTTTACCTTGGGACATGTCCAACTAATATTGCCATTTTGACAGCATTTGGCAAGGTGATAGTGAAACACTGTCTACTCTTCCTGCTCACAGAAGGACAAGAAAGCAGAATTTCCTTCTGCAGAATATACATATATTTCTTCTGGAGCTTTACACATACCCTGTTGCAGCGAAATCTCTATGACCTCAGTCAGAGGAACTGAATTCTTTATGGGTATGAAAATCCCTAAATTTGCTACACATGCATGAAATAATTGGTTTGCCATGGGTATTTCTTAAATATATGCATACCATATAAAATTACTTAAATGGAATTCCTAACAATACTTTGAATGCTCCTTTCCTCCTCCAGTCACACCAAATGATAATTTCAATAGTTTTTACAAAAGGGAATATATACCAGATATCCCTAGAGCATCCTCAAATATATACCATGTTCACAGAATCACAGAATGGCTGAAGTTGGAAGGAACCTCTAGAGATCATCGAGTCCAACCTTCCTGCTCCAGCAGGGACACCCAGAGCACGGGGCACAGGGCGGCATCCAGGCGGGTTTGGAAATCTCCAGAGAAGGAGACTCCACAGCTTCCCTGGGCAGCCTGTTCCAGGGCTCTGTCACCCTCACAGGGAAGAAGTTCCTCCTCACATGGAGATGGAACTGCCTGTGTTTCAACTTATACTCATTACTCCTTGTCCTATCGCTGGCCACCAATGAGAAGAGCCTGGCCCCTTCCTCCCTACATACACCCTTCAGGTAGTTGTATATATTGATCAGATCCTCTCTCAGCCTTCTCTTCTCCAGGCTACASAAGCCTAGCTGACTTAGTCTTTCCTCATACGAGAGATGCTACAGGCCCTAATTCTCTTGGTTGCTCTTCTCTGGACCCTCTCCAGAAGCTCCACGTCCCTCCTATACTGGGGTGCCCAGAACTGCACACAGTACTCCAGGTGCGGCCTCACCAGAGCTGAGGAGAGGGGCAGGATCACCTCCCTTGACCTGCTGGCAACACTCCTCCTGATGCAGCCAGGATCCCATTG